GCTAAAAAGTAAACGTAAGTAAACAGCCAGAAATAGAACCAGAGCTTTCGGACAACACTAGTCCTTCCTCATATATATATATATACATATATAAATCATCAAAGAAAGGTAAATACAGTGTTCGAATAAATGACATAATACTACATCGTGTAGCATAACTCTCAACGAATGTAGTCCTAGACTACATCTTTTTGAAAGACTGCCAGATGAAGATGGACAAAAATTAAAATACAACATTTTTGTAATTATTAAAAATCATCATTGTTGGCAAGTGACCAGTTCACAAAACACCATATATCAGAACTTGCCAAAAGCAATTGGCATCAGGATTACTTAATTTCTTGATATAGGAAAACCTTTTTACAATATAGTGCAACAAAAAATGTGTCGGAAGAAGTTAGATATGTTATACCTTTGAAATCCTACAAAATATCTTTAGATTACCTACATATATCCACAACAGTCACATGTCAACATTGTTGTAGTAATCCAGACCATTGTGTTGTGGCCATCACAGTACATTAGTTGAAAACTATATTTTATATCAGAGCTGTCTAGCCTAGAAGGTGTGATTTGTACTCTCTTTGGGAAGATGATATGAATGTGAAGCGATTTGGCTTTGTGCATAAGCGACATATTATTATTAATATAAAAAATGGATGACCCTAAAGAAGATGCACACCCAAATACACTAGCCTGGTTCAGTATAGGTGGTTGTCTAATATATATAGATTGTCTAAAATACATTGGATATGAAACATTCAATATGTTGTTTCTATTAAAGTATTAATTTAATTGTTTAATCAGTTTTCTCTCAAATAGATGATGCACCATTACATATGGAATCCACTGTTATAAGTGTTGATTCCAAATAAGTAGGATAATGTTTGATTTTACTGCTTTACTTACGGTTTCTGTCTGCCAAAATGTGTCCACGATTGAGCACTTTTCATCCCCAATAACTTTGTGGTAAAAAAGCCATGCCTCTGGGTTAATAGGCTCCCCAACTGAGCCTAGAACTTTCAATGAGCTTCGATCAAACCTGCAGAATTGACATTTATATTTCACTATATTTGGATTTAGATAAAATTTAATGTTACCTCAAAGAACTGTTTCATTATATGCTATAGATGCTTCAGGAAGAATGCATCAATGATACGAATTGATGCATTCTTCCTGAATGCATCAATGATACGAATTGATGCATTCTTCCTGAATACATCAATGATACGAATTGATGCATTCTTCCTGAATGCATCAATGATACGAATTGATGCATTCTTCCTGAATGCATCAATGATACGAATTGTGCAACCTCCATGTAGAAACAATCATTAACCATGCAGAGTGCTATCTCCTCTGCTCCCTGAGAAAATGCATTAATCACACATAACATGCTACAAACTCTTTTGCTCTTCATAGCCATCGAAAGCATTTTGTAGTCTTGCCAATATAGTAAGGGACTTGGCTGATCAAGGAAATCAAAACAGAGGGAGCCAGGGAGGAACTTTCAAAGGTGGAAAGTCCAGACCACCTCAGAGCCACCACGGGTGGGGCAGAGGTATGAAAATTTATGATAATGGCACCTCTAGGTGACCGGAAATGGCACGCTCAGACCTAAATTTGATTAAAATTTTACTTTTTTCTCCATTTTTTTTTATAAACTTAAAAAAATTTAGGGGGGAGGGGCTGGGCGGGCTCGACCACCCTTAAATCCGCCACTGGTAAGAGTGGGCGGAGGAGGGGGAGTGCTAAAAAAATTTGGTTGTTGAACTGCAGACCCACTACCTCTATCCACGGATAAAGGATTTAAAGTTAGTGGGGTATGAGTGATATCCACTTCTGCCCCACCATGGTTAATGAACAACTTTCTTGGCACCTGAATGCCTGGAAATAGATGCTGGTAACCTGTGGAGCTGCTACCCTGCTCCTCAAAGGGCAGCCACAAGGTTTAAAGTTGTGTGTTTGGTAGAAATAAATAAAACAAACATACATCAAACACAAAATAATAAGCAACCCACTCCATAGGAAACATACATCAATCACAAATTAAGAAGCAAACTACTAGGAAACATACATCAATCACGCAATAATAAGCAACCCACTCCTTGGGAAACATACATCAATCACACAATAATAAGCAACCCACACCTTGGGAAACATACATCAATCACACAATAATAAGCAACCCACACCTTGGGAAACATACATCAATCAAGTTGTGTGTTTGATAGAAATAAATAAAACAAACATACATCAAACACATAATAATAAGCAACCCACTCCATAGGAAACATACATCAATCACAAATTAAGAAGCAAACTACTAGGAAACATACATCAATCTCACAATAATCGACGTGTGGTTAGGGATTAAAATATAACGTTAATCTCTCAACGTTGCCAACAAGTTGTGCTAGAACAAAATTTTGGACGATTCCATTTCTCGAAATAGGATTCCATTCCCAACGTTATTACTCTACTTGTTTGTGTCGGTTTATCTCATGATTTTGATGTACTGTAATTTGTGGGCAAATTTCTTTTCTATGTTTTGTCATACGTTTCAATCATAATAATACCTGTCTCTTATACACATCTGAAACATACATCAATCACACAATAATAAGCAACCCACTCCTTAGGAAACATACATCAATCTCACAATAATAAGCAACCCATTTCTTAGGAAACATACATCAATCTCACAATAATAAGCAACCCACTCCTTGGGAAACATACATCAATTACACATTTTTCTCAATTATGTCTCATTGTTCTTGTTTTTGTGCAATAATGAATGGATGGAGAGACAGAAAGACAATTATGCAATCTTTAGTTAATTCACCTTTTGATAGGGTCTTCACCATATTTCATCAAAGTCCTGATGAGTGTTGGTGCTGTGTAAAACTTTGATACTTTGTACTTTTGTACAACTTGCCAGCAGCGTTCTGGTCCAGGATAAGTTGGGACACCCTCAAACTAAAAAAAAAAAATATATATAAACAGACTATAAGTACTGCTGAATAAATTGATGACCCTGTTATTTTATTATTAAATATACTTAACATCTTCCAATTACAAACCTCCCCAATACAAACACAATTTGTGGAAAAATAACATCATTATGAACAATTAAAACATTTAAAATTGTATTTGAAAATACTGAAAAATATAAATTTTGAAATTATACAAGAAAGAAAAACAACAAAATCAATAAATCAATATTGTTATATTTGAATTAGTCATGTACTGTATATTGATGAGGGAATTGGAAATTCGTATTGAACTGAATTAAATGAACATACAGCTACCTTTAAAGCAAAAAACATTGATAATTTTCAGCTGGGGTATATTCCATTTAAAGCTGATCATGCTTGTTAGGTAGCACATTTCCAGGCTAGTGATGGTGGACTATATAGAGAATGAGGTTGGCTTTTTACTCAAGGGTTACACTTTTGCAAAATGCTCTAAACAAATTTAAATTCAATAAAAAAAAAAAAACAACACTTGAGCTTCACCACCGACATGCCATAAAAACAATAAGAACTATCTCTAGTATGCACTGTTCCGGATAACTTGGGGATGTTAACTGCACTTTATTAAAATATCATATTTGATAATTACAGAAGAATAACATGATAAACATACCAATACACTTGTGGCACCATTGGCCATTGGTCCATAAGTGATGTAAGAATGTCCAGTGATCCAACCTATATCAGCGGTGCACCAGTAGATATCATCATCATGGTAGTCAAATACATACTTGAATGTAGTAGCTGCATACATCATATAGCCCGCCTGTGTATGCACAACTCCTTTAGGCTTCCCTGTAGATCCACTGACATGGAATATAACAACAATATTTTAGTCAAAGCAAACACACCTTATTAGGGAGTTTCGCAATATAAATCGACGTGTGGTTAGGGATTAAAATATAACGTTAATCTCTCAACGTTGCCAACAAGTTGTGCTAGAACAAAATTTTGGACGATTCCATTTCTCGAAATAGGATTCCATTCCCAACGTTATTACTCTACTTGTTCGTGTCGGTTTATCTCATGATTTTGATGTACTGTAATTTGTGGGCAAATTTCTTTTCTATGTTTTGTCATACGTTTCAATCATAATAATACTATGAATTAATTTTAATATATAACTTGTTATTTGTTATTGAGCAATTTTGTAAAATTTACAACCGAAATCTTGACTACCAAGGTGAAACCAAGTGAAATTTCCCACACACACTGTAAGTTATAATCAGGCCAAACTCATGTTCTCCCTATGAGTAGTGATGCAATTCACGTAATGCCAGTAACTGCTTCTAGAAATATTCATAGGAACATGATTGCGATCTCTAGTTTAATATCACTTGGTTGTCGAGGTGAGATTATACCATGGGAATATTTTTCTCTAAGAGGAGAGGAAGAGTACGAAACAATGGTGTACTTTCAAATAGTATTAGTTTAACGCGTGGTGTCCCCCAAAGCACTAAGCTGGGGCCTTTGATATTTATTGCTACTACTGATTATGCCCTACTGATCATGCCTCCACTCGACAGTGATTGATTTTACTTTTGGAATGTCCTGTATCTTGTTTTTTGTACTTTTGTGATTGTTCTTTGCCGTTTCTGTTAATGTACATTTTAATTGAGACAAATAAATGACAAAGTAAAGTATTGGAAATATGTGGATGATATTAGTTTAGGTAAAGTTGTTGTAAAGGGCAAACTATCCAATATTCAAAATGCTTTTAATGAGCTTGGTACATGGTCTGACCAATGCTGCCTCACTCTTAACCCTGTTGGAAATGCAAATCGATGTGTATTAACTTTGCAAAAAATGAAAGTGACGATCAACTAATTTATTTTGGTGATGTTCTGGAAAGATCTGAGGCTAAAGTGTTAGGGATATGGGTTGACACGACAATGCCATGGAAATTTTTGTTTGGTATAAAAAGTGCATCAATAAATTAAGGAAATACCTCAACGTTTGTGTGCAATTTAAATGTTGTATTTATTGTTATTATATTTGCTTTCTTATTAAATCTCATTTTATTAATTCTATTTTATATTTGTTATATTTATTTTAAAATGGATTTGTTTGACACAACCACTATTTAAGTACTAACTGTACTATACGTCAACGTGGAAGTGAGGAACAGATATTAAATATTATTAAGAGAGCCTCGCAAAATAAAGCAACGCGTATACCCGTCTACAACGCGTGGTTGGGTATTAAAATCTCTTCGCGTTGCCGACGAGTGGTTCAAGATACTGATCAAAAATGTTGGACGATTCCATTTCGCGAATTAGGGTTCGTTTTCCGACGTTTTTGTTCTACTTGTTTGCAGCGGTTTATCTCGTGATTTTGATGTACTGTAATTTATTGACAAGTCTCTTTTCTATGTTTTGTCATAAGTTTCATTCATTATTATGAATTAATTTTAATACTATTTCCTGTCATTTGTTATTGAGCTATTCTGTAAAATTTAAAACAGAAATGTCGAATACCAAGACTCGAAACCCACTGAAATTTCCTATAGACTTTTATACTGTATTATAATCAGGCCAAACTCATGTTTTTGCCATGAATATTGACGGGATAAACGCAATTTAATGCCAGTATATTGCTTTTTCTAGAACTATTCATAGGAACATTCCCACGCTCTGCTGATATGGA